TAAGCCTCAACAAACACAATCCTGACCACTTCATTTCCTCACAGATTGCTGCTCCAAAGCCCATAGTACCAGTCAGGAAACTCCAGCTTTTAAACCTCTTTTCTATGATACTAGACATAAAGATTTTGGTTTTGCAGTTGAGGGGTTTGCTGGTTTGTTCCCACATCATTTTATATCTCTTTTCTATGATACCAAATATAACAACCAAGCTCTTGGTTTTGCAGCTGGTTTGTTCCCACATCACCCCACAGCAAGGTTATGAAAATTTCCCAGTATCTATTAGGATGCTGAGCTGCAGAGATACTGCATCTTCTGCTGGGCACTGCTAAGTCACTCCTTCCCTTATCCTACAGAACGTATCCATCCAGCACAACCTGGTTTATTCCTGGTGGGGTGAACACGTGAGTTAGGTATCTGAACTTCCATTAAACTCATTAGAGTGTGCCCAAAATCCACTACCTAAATATAGGCATTTAGCAGCATTTGAGGTGCCCAGGGTATTTCAGATAAGCAGATAAACTTTCCAAGAATATAGCCATATAGTCCAAATAGCAAAAAAAAAAAAAAAAAAAAAATTACTTCTAGGGAAGCTCCATCCATTTCTAAGCAAAAAAAAAGTTACTTCTGTGTTTCATCTACATTTCCTATATGTTCAGTAAAAAACCACTCCATTCCAGTTCTCTGGACCTTAGTAAAGGCCACATTTGTAATGTCTTTGTAAAATCTCAGCAATTCTATCCTCCTCTCTCTTTGAGCACTGTCTCCAGGTTACAAATATAAGAGCAACTCTCCCCACCAACTCCTCCACTTATAAAAAACCAGGAGCTTATTACCTGCTCATACCACCCATCACCTCAAGACTCAATTCATTCATAATTATCCACCGAGAGGCCCTCTAGTTGCTCTGTGGAAGGATCTTCTCCTGCCAAATATTACAAGGTTACAAAAACAGGGATCTGATCAATGGAGGGAGCATCTGATCAATGCTTATAAATATTTAAAAGGAGGGTCTCAAGAGGATGGGGCCAGTCTTTTTTCAGTGTTGCCCAGTGTCAGAACAAGAAGAAATGGGCACAAACATGTACATAAGAAGTTCCACCTAAACACAAGGAATAATTTCTTCACTTTAAGGGTGGCAGAGCCCTGGAACAGGCTGCCCAGAGAGGTGGTGGAGTCTCCTTCTCTGGAGACATTCAAACCCCACCTGGACACGTTCCAGTGCAACCTGCTCTAGGTGGACCTGCTTTGGCAGGAGGTTGGACTATATGATCTCCAGAGGTCCCTTCCAACCCCATAGCATTCTGTGATTCTGTGAATCTGTAATTCTGTGAAAGTAATAGACCTGCACTTTGCTTTCTGTGCACCATGTTCCTTGTCAGCACTGTCCTACACAAGGATGCAGAGATGTTGGCATTTTGGGGATGTTGCATTAATATAAGCCAAACACGGGAGGGAGGGATTCAGTAAATTCGTGAAGACTGAAAACCCAGTGCTAGTGCTTGACAAAACAAATGCAGGCCTCTCATTCAGAAAAAATAACTACAAAACTCTTCCCATCCTGATTTCACTATTCGGATTATTGCCTAGATAATTGATTTGAAAACCAAATCCAGCCTAGCAACTGTCTTGAAAATTGAGTAACCTCAGGTTCAACTGTATTAAAAAACTTCAGCTTCAGGCAAAACTGATGGAACAGCTCATTCGCAGTACTTTCACCAAGCCCTGGCCCTCATTTTATGTTTTTCTGATTACGCCTACATTGTGTTACAATTCACTGGCAGCGCTATTGTGTTATAATATATATTACCACCAGCCGACTCCGACTGTATGCATTCAGCTTCATCAACAGCTAAAGACGCGTGGCTCGATGCATATTCATTGCTGTATCACCATTTCTCAGCTGTTAAAACAGCTGCATGAATCAGCAACAAGTTTCACAACTTAAAATAGATGTAACCCCTGCAGGATAGTTGGGCTCAAGGCGCATTGTGAGTCTCACTCATAGGCTGGTAGGAGCTGGGGACGCGGGGACCTTAATGACAGTATTTCTCCACTCAAGCATAGCTTTGCCCTAAAGGTGTAGGCTCCATTAGTGTTTCGGTTTGGAGCAGAAGTGTGCTTTTGTAATAAATCTCCTGATTGTGGTCACTTCTCATGCTCCGGTTCACATCCCAGAGTGGTCTGGGGATGGATGAACCCAGTTCCTTTTGATGGAGCTAAACCAGAAACAGTCCACTGACTCCCGTCTGCTTGATGCTTGTGGTCCTGAGGACCAAACTACAGCTCCTGAAGAGCAAACCTCTTGAAACACACATTTCTGGGTCCTTGGTACAATCTGGTTTGTTCTGCAGATCTGCTCCCCTCAGCCCATGCTGCTTTCTAAACGTGGTCAGAGCTGAACATGGCTCTGGCTGCTGGAGAGGAGCTGGTAATTCCTGTCATGGGGGCAGTAACTCATGACACAAACCTTGCCGTTGGGTAGTTTCTATCCTCAGCCAACAAACACATTTCCTTTAATCCAACAATAATATCTGGCTCTATGAAAAAAAATCCAACATCTATCAAACTTGTATTTTTCTATTTGGAGGATATCCTTACCTCTTTTCCAGGTCTTCAGCTCAAAAAGACATCTAAGAGCACATGCCAACAAGCAAATAAATTACCTTTGCTTTTATTCATTTGCTGTGCCAAAAACCTGTAGAGTCACTCATAGAGGTTGTGGTTATTGCACTTTGAATATTTGTTAGTTCTTCCCCCGTTTGGGGCATGCACCACCGCTTATCATGGAAAAATCAAGTGTTATGCCATCCCCAGACATTTTTATCTGTCACTATCAGGTGCACAGATAGGCGTGTGTCACTGCCAGAAGAGCTGGGTATTTATTTTAAATTGCTGCAATAATAAGGAAAGTGGTTGTACTACATTGACATTAATGTAATGCAAAACATGTAATATGAAAAGGGATTCCTGAACATATTGTTTGCTCAGTGTGTTTCCCACACAACCATTCTACTACCACTGCAATACCACAGTAGATAATATTGTAGATATTGTTGTTAATAATACATAGAAACCACATATCCTCTAGGAATTTCGGTACATATTTGCTGTGTTTCCTTACTTGGCAACACAGTCCCTTCCTTCCCCCTGCTTCAGTGCAAAAACAAACTCGACATGTGATCACTTACAGAGTTGTGCCTAATTATATAAAAGCACTAATTATACACACTTTTCAAATGGTGATAGACTTCAAAGTAGGTAAATTTTAAATCGTGCCATTAAGGAAATCTATTTGATGATGGAAATTTCTGTAATATCATATTGCAATCTCCTACATTGCTTTCAAGTCAGTATTAATTTAATGACAAATAACAGCAGAGAATAATAGAGCTGAGAAAGCAAAGTGAAAGCTGTAAGATTTACGGTGTGATATTGGTCAGCAGATGCTAACAAAAAAAGGATCAAAAACAATTTGGAAAAGCGATGAACTAAGGTAAACAATGCGGAGAAAGAAGTTCTGCATGATAAACCTGAATACGGAACCGTCAGAAACTACTTTGTGAACAAAGATAAACACCTGCAAGACTGACTTATCCCCATGTGTTCAGCTACTCATGAGAAAATATATATGTGACTGAACACTTAATTTACATGCACAGTTATCACACTGCTAGGAACGACTTGCAAATGAGTTACTTGCAGTAAGTATCTCTTTGCATGCAAAATAACGCCAATGGCGTGTACAAACCAGCCCTAAAAGTGCACACGTAGCTCAGCCCACCAATGTCACACACACATTTATGAAAACCAAGCTGCCACCCAAGAGTCCAGTTCATGCACCTCCTTTTCAGACCTTGGTCCATGGCTCTTCATACATAAACTCTTCAAGACACAGTTCTTTACCTTTCAATTTAGCTATTCACCAAACCCCCTTCTTCTTCAACACAACACTTTAGTGAAGCCATAGAATAAGTGAATGCATGAAAGCTGATATTCTTTTAGCACTACTTAATAGTTCTGCTGTCTATTGATCTGGTGTTGTAGATGAGTGGTTTATTTCATATAAGTTATAAGAATTTATACACCTCTGCTGTAGAATCTGGATGGCGCATTGACAAGACCACTGGGCAGATCAGACAGCAATTACAATGCAGCAACGCTACAGGACACTAATCCCTCTGCTGTGAGTTAAATAATAGCTTGTGTGGCAGGGAAGAGACAGAATCCATCATCACTGAAAAATAGGACTGTGTATGGAAAGGGAAATGGTCGATCTTCTCTCGCACAAATCCTGGTGTCAAAACAAATAGTCTTACTAAGTAATGGGCTGTCACATTTAATCAAAGAATTTATGGAATAGCTTGATAGAAGCATCCTATAAGCAGCAGGTGGGAGACCCTGAGTTATCCAGCTTAAATATTGATCATGACTTTCCCCCAGCATTGAAGAACTCTGGGGTTTGAGATTTTGGCTATACCCGTTAGAGTATGGGGTCCAGATATGTTTGAGTAACTTTAAAATCACAGACTTTTGCTCTCGTGTACCCACATAAAAAACTGTCTAGAACACATTAAAACTATTGCTGCACAGGTAAGTACTTTTCTTTCTGCATAGGTATAAAATAACATTAAATGGCATACAAAAAACCCCCTTTTAGAAAAGTTGGAATTTAAACCAAAATTTTCTTTCTGCATAGGTATAAAATGACATAAAATGGCATACAAAAAAAAACCCTTTTAGAAAAGTTGGAATTTAAACCAAATAGGATGTGAGTTCAGAATTGGAGAGAGGAGCTCCAACAGCAGCATGGAGACAAAGCACATCACACAAACTCGTTTTGTGCTAATAGGTGACATCTCTGACCTGTTCAGTACTGGAGAGAGGAGCTCCAACAGCAACATGGAGACAAAGCACATCACACAAACTTGTTTTGTGCTAATAGGTGACATCTCTGACCTCCACTTACACGTGAAGCAACTCCACACCCCACCCAACGTTACCTTTTGATATTCTTCCTTAGATCTCAAGGCAGCTTCCATCTGTTCCTCAGAAAAGGTGTAGATGGCAGAGCGATACTGTGTGCCAACGTCATTCCCCTGTCGCATTCCTGGGGAGAGAGAAAACACAGCACCTTATAGGGGCCTTCCAGTCCCTCAAGGGGGTCAGCAGGGGAGATGGGGAGGGACTCTTCATCAGGGAGTGGAGCGACAGGGCAAAGGGTTACGGTTTTAAACTGAAAAAGGGGATATTTAGATGAGATCTCAGGAAGAAATTCTTTCTTGTGATGGTGGTGAGAGCCTGGCCCAGGTTGCCCAGAGAAGCTGTGGCTGCCCCATCCCTGGAGGGGTTCAAGGACAGTTTGGAGGGGGCTTGGAGCAACCCGGTCTGGTAGGAGGTGTCCCTGCCCAGGGGAGGGGGTGACACTGCATGATCCCGAAGGTCCCTTCCAACCCAAACCATTCTATGATTCTATGATGACCATCCTCCAGCCCAGACTGGGCTGCAGCAGAAGTCCAACAGACCAGAATTTAGGACATTCCATACACCTGGATTAGCACAGTTTCTTATGTGCATACTCAGCAGGTATTTTTAGGAAGTCCAAGCCTTTCTTTGGTTAAATAGTCCTGAAGAGATTCAACTCTGCTATCTCCTTTTAAATGACATGCAAATGAAATGTGAGCATTTTACATTTTGGTAAATCAAACAGTAGTCAAATACAGATGTAAAACCTTAAATAATCAAGCTGCAGTTACTGTAATCAAGGTACTCTTAAAATATTTATTTTGAACCATGCAAGTGGCTACAAAAAAAAAAAAAAGGTTGATTTTACCAAGTGCTTAAAAATTTTCTTGTGCTGGAGGAGTACATCATAATGGGAGAAAGGTTCAAAATACCCTTGGAGATATCTAGCTATTCTCCTCTGCTCACAAAACAGTGATCTTAAATCCTAGTAAGCATTTATTGCTGAATTTAGTCTGAAGTTATCACTTCCTACCATCACCATCACTAGTCATGGAGAGAAGGAATGACTCTTAAGAAGCTCTTAAATCTGAGTTCCAAAGAGGACTCCGATAGATAAATAGGCTTAGGAGAAGGTCTGGAGAAAGACTGGCTGCCTTACTCCTGTTACAGGGGGAGTAATGGTTAGGAATAGCAATGCTTTCACATTTTTTTTAGTTTGGGAGAAGTAGAAAACAAAGTATATATATAATATCCTCTAAATTCTATTTGCAACCTATATGTTGATATTAAGAATGGTGAAAGTATTTAATATTGTTTATATCTAACATTAGGAAAACAAACCCCTGGTTATACATACTCAGTAACTGCTTGAAATTCTATCATAAATGGTACAAAGGTACATTTTGGTACAAAGATTAGCCCTTCTACTGATGTTATATACATATATATGTAATCCCTTCAAAAGCCTAGTTGTATAAAGTTGTTCATATACGAATTTCCAAAATATGAGATGGATCCTACCCACAAAACTATAACATATTGGGCCAAAGCAGAGGGAAGTTTACTGTCCCCTTAGGTGACTGGCCCAGGCATGGGTTGGCGTTAGGCCACCCCAGGCAGCCCCACTGGCCAAAGGCATCACTATCTCTCCTCGCTACTCATTCCCATTCCCTCAGGCACCAATTCCACCAGCCGACTTCGCGTTGGGTCATTCCATAAAGTCAAACAACAGCCTTAGAGGGGAGCTTTTACATTAAGAACGATCTGGAGGTCCAGTTTTCCAACTACAATTGCAGTTTTGCAGTTTCTTACATAACTTTGTTGCCAGTCTCGCATTCTAGAACTGAACTTTCTGCCTTGCTATAAAAAATATATTAATTTTGAGTTTGTCTTGTGTTTTGCATGAACTTGGGTGAGTCAAAAAGTCGGAGTGACTGCAACCCAAAACAAATTGGAAATCATCAGGATTTGTTTTTTGACTGCCACTAGGTTTCAGAAGCCCCTTTGAAGATCACCATCAACACTCAGGACTATGGAGATGAAACAAACCAAAACTGTAGGTCATGATACCCCCCAGCAAAGGGCAGAGGGTAGAGAAAGAGCCTGTGATGTTGGGGGGAAAAGATGCTATCAACATGCTACTACTCATTAAAACATGATCACTTTTATCCCTCTTGTACTTTCCAAGGAAGCAGAAAAATGGTTTAAAGGACAGGACAATAAATAAATGAAATCCAACTGAAATATTTATGAACTAAAAGATGCAGAAATGTTTTCAAAGATGTATTTGGAAAAAAAGTCCATTCGGTGACCAACAGTGCACATGAGTGAAAGTGATTCCGAAAAATGTTATGGAGTTTTCTGATTATTTGGGTTACTTTTTAACTGCTAGAACAACTACGTTCTTCATCAATACTTAATAGTGTGGTCTGCAAGGCAGAGAATATTTTGGTCATTTCTTTCCAAGTTATTTCAAGTTATTTTAGGGTGGTAAGAAGCTCTTTAAAAACCAGTTCTATGGAATAGTTCGGCATAAAATGAATCCAGGCCAGAAAGCATTAGTTTTGCCAAGATATGTTAATGCTGATTGATGTTTGAGCTTAAGCATTAGCATTCTACAAATCTATTTATTGCTTAACAAACTACTTAACAACCGACTAGGGAGCAGATTACAAAAATCTCTATAAATGGAGGATCACTATAGAGTATGCCAGTTTCTAGAATCCATTTCAAGAGTATGAGTTTAGCATGAGCTTGTGTGGTGGTGCTTTAAGTGAGAACATAAACAAGATTATTTAATATATGCACGTATCACCATTATACCGAGATAGGGAAGTGGTCAGCTTAATTAAGTTATTGAAGAGAAGATTAAGAGAACTGACTCTGATTTACAAATACATATATAGAGAAATAACCTGAGAAATAAGGATCTTTATTCTTGCCAAAGTTGCTTAACAAGGTAGAGCAATTGAAAGCCAAAGTACACCATATCCAGATGGGAAATAAGGGGACATTGAAACAGTGAAGAGCATTTCTCACTGGACCAACATACCTAAAGCCACATCCTTTCCTGAGGGTTTCACACCAAGGATATAAATTTTCCCCAAAGATATACCAAAGCTCAAAGAGCTGTACAAGATCAGTGATGAAATTATAGAGTTAAAGCCAAAGAGAAGGTCAGACTGTGTGACCTTCTAGTGCTCAAGGGGTGGTTTGCACTGATAAACCACCCACCAGCTATGAAGAAGACTGAACAGATATTGTAAGTATTTCCCCAAAATGTAGCTTTAATGTCATCAATCAGCTAAAATGTCATTTATTTTCACTTGTTACTTAAATCAATTTGTACCTAAATCTTCTGCAGTAAGTAGCTAATATGTTGTCTGACAAAGCCACAAAGATGACAAGATACTAAAATCAAATAAATTCTGTGTGTATAGACATAATCAACTGCTCCTGTTGCTGTTGTTATTTGTAATGTACTTCACATGTGCAAACTTCTCAAGGGTCCAACACTGATTTTTTAAAACCCTCTGGCAAGTCTCACTTGTTGAGATTCACTAACTCAATGAGTAGCAAACAAGGCAAGAAATTTAATTCAATAAACAACCATGGTACAATGACTGAGCTTAACAATCTTGTCTTTGTCTGAAAGAAAGTCTACTAAATAAAAAATTATTGCTGCTTGGCTATCTTAAAGTTCCACAATGTCACAAGTACTTAACATTCCTTCATTTTCTGAAATGTCTTTCTTATTTTGTCTACCATGACATTCTGTCTCTCTCTGTTAACAAAACACCACACCTATATGTGTTCAGCTTCAGATAAGAATGAGAAAATACAAATTATTAATTAAATAATGATGCTATACATATTGGAAGATATTATGTACTGCTGAATCAAAAGCCAGTGAGCCAAATTATGATCTTCAGTGCACCAAGATTTGTTCTAAGTTTGTAATAATGCAACTAAAACCACAAATAATCTCCACAGGTTTCACATCATTCCCCTGCCTACAAGGTCCCAGGTAGTTAAGTAAGACTTAACTTAAACGCATCTGTTAAACACCCTCCCAACCCAATATGTATTAGAAATTGTAATCATACATTATAAAACCATTGCGATTGGGAAGGGTTTTGAATGACCACCATCTTTCTTACATTTTCACAGAAAAATGAATAAAACTCTTGACATTATGGATTGGACAGATTAAAGCAGTATTTATTACCACTAATGGATGTGTTTCAGGATCAAATTTCCCATAAATATTCTCTACAAAGAGTTTTGTCAGAATAAGACATTTTTTTCACCTGTGCCAAGCTCCGTATTTAAGAGATGCAAATGATTTTGCTTAAATTCCAAATCAAACCAGTGAATCGGGTTTGTCTAAATCTTCACTACTGGAAGAAGTAATTCCTACAGAACACCAGCTGCACATCTTCAGAGCAGCTGGATCTTCTCGGCAGGGGAATGCTGATTGCCTACAACTGTTCTTCCGCAAGATGTCTTAAAGTCACTCTCTGTGCAAAACCTGCCAATTTAGGGACAGAATTGAGGGTAGATCCAGGAGATAGCTTTTTTTTTCCCTCAAAGATATAATATATGGTGAAATCTGTAAGTAGGGCAGGAAGCTTCTTTTAATTCTAGGCTGAGAAGATAACCAGGTTGCTTCTTAAAGATGTTAACAAAATATATTAAGACTGAGGAATGAGGTCTCTGGCAGGAAGAAAGGCCTTCATCATCTCTTTCAGAAACTTTGCAATGAAGGAATGAAATAACACAGAAAAAAGCCTTCTCTGCAGCTGTAATGACCAGTAGATACACTTTGAGTGATCTCAAGCCCATTTCTCTGGAAGAGACAGTTTGAGGAAAAGTCTCCAGAGACCTGAAAGAAGAATGTCATCTTACATGTAGCATCGGACCTGGTCCGCTTTGTCACAAAGAAGACCCAAAGGACTCATTGCCAGTGTTGATCAAAATCTTTATAACTAGAGACAACCAGGCAGAGTTTCAAGGGCTACTCAGTGCCCCTGCTGTGATGTGGAGGAAGCCAAAGCCAAGATGATTTATCTGATTTGTATCTCGTGTAAGAAGATTCAGAGCAGAGGCAAGTCCTTGACCTCCATGCCAGGTCCTCCAGGATTC